CATTCTTATTGCATGTATTTCATCAGCTGCTTCTTTTCTTCTCATTTCTCATTGTAGTTTCATGACTTACACACACACACACACACACACACACACACACACACACACACACACACACACGGAGTGGGGAAATAGTCTATTATCAGTTTCTTTTTCTAAGAATATCTATACTGATTTTGTTTACATTCCTATCAGCAATTAACATGGGTTCTGATTTCTCATTTCCCTTGCTTGCATTTCTTGGCATTTATTTTCTTGATGATAGCTGTAGTGACTGAGGTAAGATAGACCTCAAAAGATTTTTCATTAAGAATTTTCCTGGATAAGGATATTGAACACATTTTTCACTATTTCTTGGCTATTTGTATTCATTATTTTGAGAACTGTCTATCCAGATCATTAGTACATTTGTTCTTTTACTGGTATATAGGTTTATATTAATTTAATTTTTATAAGTCCTTATATATCCTGGGTGTTAATTCCCTGTCTAACGCTTAGATTAGACAAAGAATTTTTCTCATTATTTTTTAATATATACACAGGATCACACTAAGTAGCCTTGGCTGATTTGGAACTCACTATATAAAGCACAATTCTTATGGTATTTCCTATTAGATTCCTATTCAGGAAATTCTTTCCTAAGCCTTATTCATGTTTCCTCTAGAATTTCCAAAGTTTGGGGTCTTGTAATAAGGCATTTGATCCACTTTGAATTGATTTTGTGCAAGATAAAATTCATATCAAATTTCATTAACTTCCATGTAGGAATCCATTTTTTCAGAAGCATTTGTCAATGCAACTATATGTCTCTGATGTATGCCTTTTACATGTTTGTCAAACATGAAGTGACAATAGCTGTATGCGTTTATTTGTAGGTTCTCTACTTCACACATCTGTATGTCTGTTTTCATCCAACAATATGAGGTGCACTCTCACCCTGAACTCTTGGGGGAGGGTCTAGGCCATGCCCTGTACGAAATGACAGACTATGAACACCCCCATGGAGGGCTTCACCCTCCCTGGGGAAATGAGGGGATAATGGTGGGCTGGGGGAAGGGCACGGGAGGAAAGGAGGGAAAGGGAGAGGGACCTGGAACTGACTTGTGAAGCAACCTTGTTTCTTATCTAAATTTAAACTGAAATAAATTTAAAAAAGACTAAAGTAAGGTTTATTGTCCTAGTTAAGAACTCAAATACTATATTAAACAAGAATGGAGAGACGGGGCAGCCTTGTCTTGCTACACATTTTAGAGAAAATGCTGTTTAGTATATTTTGTTTGCTGTGAGTCTTACTGTATTGAGACACGTTCTACATCCCCATTGTCTCTTTTATGAATGGATGTAGAACTTTGTCAGACGTTTTTGTCCACCAGCTGAGATGATAATGCAATGTCTGTCCTTACATTTATTTATGTGGTAAAGATACTTATTGATTTGTATAGGCTAAACCAACCAAAGAACACCGGAATCAAATAAATATGGTCATATCGTTTAAAAAATGACTGGACATTTGGCTCCTGGAGATAAAATCGATACTAATGGAGGCTGTGCAAGCCCTAGCCTGGTTACTGTCCTTTGTGCTTCATCTCTTGTGCCTTCAGTAGGAACTGGCCCCAGAGAAACTCAGAGACTAAGGGAGGCACATCTCCAAGCACTTTGAGACAGTTTAGCCAGAAAACTTGCTACTGGGCAAACCCATCGAAACCAAAGCGCTCCTGCTGTGCTCCATGCTAGCATGGGTGGTTATGTGCCTGGACATACCAAGCTTAAATCCTGTGCCCTCTAAAGCAGGCAGAAGGTGCTGGAGCAGCTCACCCCTCCCTCCAGTAGGGAGACCACAGCAAACAAATTCACAGTCCCTATCACCCCATCTCTGCCTCATAAATTTTGCAAGCACTTTTTTGCATTACCTTTTCGGCAAAAACGGGGACATAGTTTGATCCGGGGTACTTCAATGCCCCTAGACTAGCATTCAGCTACCAAGGCTCCTCTTGCCCAGGAGTCAAGGCTTTGACGAAAAACGGGATGGATCCTGCAGTAAAGGCTGCCTCAGCAAGCAAGCTCCAGGTTCAGTGAGCTCCTGGGGAACCCTTGCTCTTAACAGAGACCTCCGAGGTCAACAAGCATCTTCAGTCTGAGGGTGCTCCCTGAGGTACATAATCTGAACAACTTGCCTAGAGAATCCTAGAGAGTGTCTTTCCACTCGCAATGAGAAGACTAGTGGCCCCTTGGCTAGAGGACCTGGCTGAGGGACAGGAAGTTGCAGGGATGTGGACACTTGCAGTGCCCCACACTCTCTGGACCTCGGGACACAGCTCATGCAGTTGTTCATACTGAGCGCCTGTGAAATCTGCTGAGTGGAGAATGTGTCCATTACCCAGGCTCCTGAAACTCAGTCTTCCGGTTAGAAACAAAAAACGAAATATTTTTAAATGGGCGAATATGAGCCGACTGAACAGAAAATCGGCCATGGGGGAGGGTCTTGCTTTCCTGCACTCTCTTTATCTGTGGTGCATTCAGTAGGAATTAGCTCCAGGGAGGCAGTGACCTAGGGAGGCTCGTTTTCACCAAGGTTCAGTTAGCCTGGCCAGTAAACCTGCTCACTGCCCAGAAACGTCTGCTTCTGTGTAGGATTTTATCACTCAAGTTACAAATTTGTTTATTGCTATTTCACCAAGAGAAAAACAGCAACAAAGAAAAATTCTAAACGATTTTGAGTCTTTGAAACGATTTGTAAACTAAAAGGTGTTGGGGAAGAGATGTCCTCCCACCCAAAAAAATTTCTAAAGCTATGAATTACATTCATTACAAAACATTTTATAAAAACCTGCTGGTGGATTTACTCTACGGCTTTTTCTTTAACTGTCCCCAAGCAGAGCATTGGCATGGATGATATTGTAATACTTTTGTAAAGTGGTGTTTTTCATTAGGAAAGAACACCCATTTTCCTGTAGCTTACATTTGTTTAAGATCTAGGAAACCTAAAATCGTGAAGTTGGCTGCCAAATGGATAGGCTTGCAAATATGACCTTACCTAAGTTGTAATAATCTTAGAAAGAGAGTAATTGGATGTTATATCCCTTAAATGCACAATCTAGTCAATGACATGCATGTGCATTGAAACAGATTTACCTGTGTGTACACAAAAAATGTTTAATAGACAACAGGAAACTCTGACGTAACAGGGCAAGGAAACAATTAGTGCCTGTGGTCTACACGAGCTGTGAAAGAAGCACAAGAAGAATTGTTTTTCTAGTCTGTTTTCAAATGTTTCATGTTTAGTGAAGGATGGGTGGATGAAAAATCTTCAGTTGTGACTGTATAAAATTCAGTGTGAAATTTCAAGGCTTTAGGGTGGCTCCTCTATGTGACATTTCTATAGCTCAGGTCTCCTTATATTGGGGGTGTGTCATTTAATGTACTTGCAAGGTTTTACTCAGAAACTTTATGAAATAAAAAAATAGGTTACCAAAGTATCTGACAATAGTGGAAATAAAAAAGAGCCAACAGGTCATGCTAGACATGGTGTTAAATACAAATAATATATCTACATGGAATCAGAGGCAAGAAAATGTTAGATTTCGAGGTCAGGCAGGGCCTCATGGTAACAATATATCCAAGAGAGGTAATTCTGTATATCAGCCATATTCCCCAGGAGGTGGCATACTCATACTCAAGAATTGTGATACAACTCCAGCAAACATCATAGGCATCATATTTGTGTGTTTCCTTGTTTTGCTTTCTTAGTGCATGTTATTGAAATTCTCTTTGGTCCTAGAGGCAAACAATATACAGGTGTTTGCATAGGAAAGGAAGACTGTGGGAAAAGTTTGAGGAAGGGAAATATGAATGAAATATTTTAAAGGGCAAACTTAACACAACTAGAGATTTTTTTCTCATAAAAGTCTAGGATCTACTCCCTGTAGCAGGTAACTTGAGATCCTCACATCCCCACCTTACAAGGGCTGGGACTACAATCATGGACAAATATCATTAGAAGCAATAAAGGCTTTGGGATCAATTGTTGAGTAGCCAAATAGGGGAACATTTACAGGGGACTCAGGGCAGACATTGTATATACATTTGTACCTATCTCCCTCCCTTCATAAGGCCCAAGAGGGAATGTTTCAGGCCTCTAAGAGTGTAGAGGTTTAGAGGCCTAAGTGGTGTCTCCAATGGTTATTTCCCTGTTCCTGTATAAGTTGCAGGTAACCACATTCACTTACTCACTGATTGCATTGCTAGAGGAGGTGGACGTGTTGCAAGGAAAGGAGGCTTTGCAGCATAGCAGGGATGTGCATGGCGAACATTACTGTCTATGGTCCTCTCTGGAAACTCTCATGTCCCACAGTCACCAAGGGACTGTGGACAGGCAGAGAAGACTCTCACACCACTGCATAGGGCAAGGGTTCTCAAGCTCTGTATAACGAACATTTAAGGGGTTCATATCAGATATTGACATTAGTATTCATAATAGCAGCAACATTACATTTATGAAGTAGTGAAAAATAAATTTATGGCTGGGTGTCACCACAGCCTGAGGATTATGTTTCAGGGTCACAGCATTAGGAACGTTGAGAACCATTGACCAGGGTTTGCAGGGCAGAATGGGAGTGGTTGGTCTTGGTTACCTGCTTTGCACCTGTACAGGAAGCAATCAAGACCAAACTTAGTTAAGATTTCTATTGCTGCAATGAAACACCATGACCAAAGAGCAAAGTGCAAAAGAAGTTGTGCACTGCCATATCATCTTTGAAGGAACTTAGAGTAGGAGATCAAAACGGCAGGAGTTGACAAGTAGGAAAAGAAGGTGTGCTGCTTACTGGCTTGCATCACTCAAGTTGCTTATCCAGGTTTCTTAGAGAATCCAGGACCTCAACCCTGGACTAGTACCACACACCAAGGGCTGGGCCCTCCCCTAAGGCCTGCCTGGGCAGGGGTTTCTATTGTTGCAATAAAATACCATGATCTAAAAGCAAGTTGAGGTTTATTCAGCTTACACATCCGTATTGTTGTTCATCTCCAAAGGACAGCAGCAACACAGGCAGAGCAGGATCCTGGAGTCATGAGGTGATGCAGAGTCAATGGAGGGCTGCTACTTACTGGCTTGATTCCCTAACTTGCCCAGGTTTCTTATAGAACCTATGACCCCCACCGGGGAACTAATACCACCCACCAAAGGGTGGAACCTCCCTCATTGACCACTAATTGACTAAATGCTTTTGGGTGGGTCTCATGGAGGAATGTTCTGAACCACCATTCTGATGACTCTGCCTGTGTCTAGGTGATAGAAAACCAGTGAGTACAACGCCAAACATGGGAATAGTAAACTTTGGGCATTACTATTTGAAAAAGGCCGCCATGGGCTATATTTTTCCCATCTGTTCAATTTGGAGTTTCCATATATCAATTTTATTCAGCCTGCTGTTCTTAGCAACAGGAAACTTGCTATCAGAAAGCCAATGAGGTACTCCTGTGCAGTCTGCAGGGATGAGATTTCAGGCACCTGGCTATCTCAAACTTAATCTGTATGCCTACTAAAACAGATACGATGATCTGCTGATCTTCAAAGTCCCTCTAGGGTAGGGAAGATAACACTCCAAATAAATTTCCAACATCCATTTCCCCACATGCTTTTAGCATGCAATGAAAATCAAACCCCAGAAAATGCAGACCTCTTTGGGAGTAAGGGGAAATTACCCTTAATTTAAAGTGGGAAACTGCAGACTCACCACTAGGGGCAGAGGTGATCGCTCCAGTGTGAAGCTTCTTCCAGGCATCCATTTCTTTAAGACCACAAAGAAACCATTACTATAAGATCTCAAAATCTCCCAGAAGACTGCCTCAAGCCATTTTACTCCTCGCCTTTTTGGCAATCACAGGACAATGTTTTTAATCCCAGGGTATTGGCATGTTCCTAGCCTAGCCCCTGGTTTCAGCTGTTTTCGTTTTCCTTTTTTTCCTGGAGGCAGTTCTTTGGCACAAATGGGAGGGATCCTGCAGTATGGCTACCGCAAGAAGCTATCGCCAGACAAGGTAAGTTCCTGACGAACCTTCCTCCTAAGAGAACCTCCTAGGTCAATCAGCTTCTTCAGTTTGGGGGTTGCACTGAGGTTTTGGTCAGCTTAATAAAAGTTTATAGGAGACTGCCTTTCTAAGGGGTGGCCTGAAAAAGTACCCCGTGGCCAGAGGACACTGTTTGAGGGACAGGAAGGTAAATGGATATGTGGATTTTGAAAGTGAAGCTGCCACACTCTGTGGAGGCAGAGACTCAGCCCAAGAGGTTGGTTGTGCTGAGCTCCTGCTGAATATCCTTAGCAGCAAGTCTCTCCATTGTCCTGGCTCGGGAAAGTTTAAAACACTTAAAACGGAATGTTATAAAATTGAGTGGACATGTGGCTGCTGGAGATAAAAGCGATACTGCTGGAGGCTGTGCAAGCTCTAGACTGGTTCCTGTACTTTCTCCTTTGTCTCTTGTGTCTTCAGTAGGAACTGGCCCCAGAGAAGCTCAGAGACCAAGGGAGGGACATCTCCAAGCACTTTGAGACAGTTTAGCCAGAAAACCTGCTACTGCCCAAACTCATCGAAAACCAAAGCAGTATTGCTATGCAGCATGATAGAGTGTACGATTACTTGCCTGCACACCCCAAGCTAAAATCCTGTGCCCTTGAAAGCAGGCAGAATGGGCTAGTGCAGCTCATCCCTCCCTCTGGGAGGGAGACCACAGCAAATGAATTCAAAGTCCCTTTCTCCCCATCTCTGCCTCATAATTTTCGCAATCCATTTTTTGCCTTACCTTTTCGGCAAACACAGGGACATAGTTTGATCCGGGATATTTCAATGCCCCTAGACTAGCAGGCAGCGACCAAGGCTCCTCTTGCCCAGGAGTCAAGGCTTTGCCGAAAACGGGAAGGATCCTGCAGTAATGGCTGCCGCGGCAAGCGAGCTCCGGGTTCGGTAAGCTCCTGGCGAACCTTGCTCCTAACAGTGACCTCCCGGGTCAGCGAGCATCTTCAGTCTGAGTGTGCTCGCTAAGGTATATTTTCTGAAAAACTTGCCTGGAGAATTCTAGAGAGTAGCTTTCCACTCGGAACGAGAAGACGAGCAGACCCTAGGCCAGAGAACCTGGCTGAGGGACCTGAAGGGGCAGGGATGTGGACACTTGCAGGGCTCCACACTCTGTGTTCCCGGGGACACAGCTCATGCAGTTGTTCGTGCTGAGAGCCTGCAAAATCTGCTGAGTGGAAAACGTGTCCATTACCCAGGCTCCTGAAACTCAGTTTTCCGGTTAGAACCGAAAAACGAAATATTTTTAAATGGGCGAATATGAGCAGACTGAACAGAAATCGGCCATGGGGGAGGGTCTTGCTTTCCTGCACTCTTTATCTGTGGTGCATTCAGTAGGAATTAGCTCCAGGGAGGCAGTGACCTAAGGAGGCTCATTTTCACCAAGATTCAGTTAGCCAGGCCAGTAAACCTGCTCATTGCCCAGAAACTTCTGCTTCTGTGGATGGATTTTATCACTCAAGTTACAAATTTGTTTATTGCTATTTCACCAAGAGTTAAACAAAAACAAAGAAAAAAATCTAAATATTTTGGGTCTTAAGAGAAAACAAATTGTAAATTGAAATGCCTTGGGAAGAGGAGTCCTATTCTCCACCCTCCCAAAAAACTTCTAATGCTAAGGAATACATTCATTTACAAAACATTTTATGAAAACCTGCTGGTGGATTTGCCCTATGGCTTTTTCTTTAACTGTCCCCAAGCCCAGAATTGGCATGGATGATATTGAAATACTTTTTCAAAGTTATGTTTTTCATTATGAAAGAACACCCATTTTCCTGCAGTTTACATTCCTTTACGATCTCGGAAATCATGAAGCTGGCTGCCAGATGGATGGGCTTGGAAATATGATCTTACCTAAGGTGGAATAATCTCAGAAAGACAATAGTGGATGCTATATCTATTAAATGCACAGTCTAATCAATGACATGCATGTGCATTGAAACATGTTCCTGTGTGTACACAAAACATGTTTAATAGAAAACTGGAAGCTCTTACGTGACAGGGCAAGGAAACAATGAGTGCAAGGGGTCTACATGAGCTGTGAAAGAGGCCAAAGAAGGAGTTGTTTCTCTAGTTTGAGTCTGTCTTCAAATGTTTCATGTGTGGTGGAGGATGAGTGTATGTATCTTCAGTTGTGACTGTATTAAACTCAGTGAGAAATTCCAAGGCTTTAGGGTGGCTACTCTAACTGAGATGTGTGTTCCTTAGGTCTGTTATATTTGGGGAGTGTCTTTTAATGTACTTTCAAGGTATAATCACAAACTCTATAAAATAGAAAGAGGTTACCAAAGCATCGCACATTAGTAGAAAAAAATAAAAGAGCTCACAGGCCATGTTTGACTTGGTGTTAAATGCAAATAATCTTTCCATTTGGAGTCAGAAGCAAGAAGATTTTAGATTTTCTGGTCAGCAGGACTTCATGGTAGCAATGTATCCAAGAGAGGTCATTCTGTATATCAGCCATATATCCCAGGACTTAACATATTCAGGAATTGTGATCCAACACAAACGAACACCATAAGCTTCATATTTGTGTGTTTGCCTTACTTTGGTTTTTTAGTTCGTGTGACTGAAATTCTCTGTGGTCCTAGAGGCAAAGAATATACAGGTGTTTCTATAGTAAAGGTAGACTATGAGAGAATTTTGAGGAAGGGAAAATATGAAGGAAATATTTTAAAGGGCACAGGTAGAGGTTTTTTTGTAATAAAAGGCTGGGTTCTACTCCCTGTAGCAGGTACCATGAGATCCTCACATGCCCACCTTACAAGGGCTGGAACTATAGTCAAGCACATACATCATTGGCCACAAAAATGGCTTTGGGTTCAATTATTGAGTAGCCAAATAGGGTAACATTTACAGGGGACTGGGGGCAGACATTGTATATATATCTGTACCAAGCTCCCTCCCTTCATAAGGCCCAAGAGGGATGTTTCAGGCCTCTAAGAGTATAGAGTTTTAGAGGCCTAAGTGGTGTCTCCAATGGTTATTTCCCTGTTCCTGTATAAGTTGCAGGTAACCACATTCACTTACTCACTGATTGCATTGCTAGAGGAGGTGGACGTGTTGCAAGGAAAGGAGGCTTTGCAGCATAGCAAGGATGTGCATGGCGAACATTACTGTCTGTGGTCCTCTCTGGAAACTCTCTTGTCCCACAGTCACCAAGGGAATGTGGCCAAGGTGAGAAGGCTCTCAGACCACTGCCCCCAGAGTCCATTTGTATGCCAGGGATAAATACTGGTCTACACCCAAGGTTAAATAGATTGTCTAGGCCCTCTCACTTACATCAGAGTAAGGGGGTCTTGATCAGTCCCATGCTGGATTCTGAGCCCTCAGTCTGTTCAGGACAACTGTTCCTGGGGGTTAAAGCAGCCCAGTCTTAAACCCTTTGCTCATCAGTCCTCCATCTCTGCCACTGAGTTCCTTGACATTAGCTCAGTGTTTAGCTGTGGCTGTCTGTCTCTGCCTCCATGAGCCATTCCTTGAAGGATTTTTCCCAGACTCTCTGGCAATTGCATTGTGTACTGGCACTCCCCAGGTTCTCTCTTACATGTGCCTCACAACCCTATTAAAGATATTTATGTAACTGTTCAAATGAGCACAGGTTTTTCCAGGAATCCATTTCTTTAAGACCACAAAGAAACCATTACTATAAGACCTCAAAATCTCCCAGAAGACTGCCTCAAGCCATTTTACTCCTCGCCTTTTTGGCAATCACAGGACAATGTTTTTAATCCCAGGGTATTGGCATGTTCCTAGCCTAGCCCCTGGTTTCAGCTGTTTTCGTTTTCCTTTTTTTCCTGGAGGCAGTACTTTGGCACAAATGGGAGGGATCCTGCAGTATGGCTACCGCAAGAAGCTATCGCCAGACAAGGTAAGTTCCTGACGAACCTTCCTCCTAAGAGAACCTCCTAGGTCAACCAGCTTCTTCAGTTTGGGGGTTGCACTGAGGTTTTGGTCAGCTTAATAAAAGTTTATAGGAGACTGCCTTTCTAAGGGGTGGCCTGAAAGAGTACCCCGTGGCCAGAGGACACTGTTTGAGGGACACGAATGTAAATGGATATGTGGATTTTGAAAGGGAGGCTCCCACACTCTTTGGAGCCAGAGACTCAGCCCAAGAGGTTGGTTGTGCTGAACTCCTGCTGAATATCCTTAGCAGGAAGTCTCTCCATTGTCCTGTCTCAGGAAAGTTTAAAACACTTAAAACGGAATGTTATAAAATTGAGTGGACATGTGGCTGCTGGAGATAAAAGCAATACTGCTGGAGGCTGTGCAAGCTCTAGACTGGTTCCTGTACTTTCTCCTTTGTCTCTTGTGCCTTCAGTAGGAACTGGCCCCAGAGAAGCTCAGAGACCAAGGGAGGGACATCTCCAAGCACTTTGGGACTGTTTAGACAGACAACCTGCTATTGCTCAAAAGCATCGAAAACCAAAGCAGTATTACTATGCAGCAAGATAGAGTGTACGATTACTTGCCTGCACACCCCAAGCTAAAATCCTGTGCCCTTGAAAGCAGGCAGAATGGGCTGGAGCAGCTCACCCTTCCCTTGGGGAGTGAGACCACTGCAATTGAATTCAAAGTCCCTTTCTCCCCATCTCTGCCTCATAAATTTCGCAGTCCTTTTTTACCTTACCTTTTCGGCAAACACAGGAACATAGTTTGATCCGGGATATTACAATGCCCCTAGACTAGCAGGCAGCTACCAAGGCTCCTCTTGCCCAGGAGTCAAGGCTTTGCCGAAAACGGGAAGGATCCTGCAGTAACGGCTGCCGCGGCAAGCGAGCTCCGGGTTCGGTAAGCTCCTGGCGAACTTTGCTCCTAACAGAGACCTCCCGGGTCAGCGAGCATCTTCAGTCTGAGTGTGCTCGCTAAGGTATATTTTCTGAAAAACTTGCCTGGAGAATTCTAGAGAGTAGCTTTCCACTCGGAACGAGAAGACGAGCAGACCCTAGGCCAGAGGACCTGGCTGAGGGACATGAAGGGGCAGGGATGTGGACACGTGCAGGGCTCCACACTCTGTGTTCCCGGGGACACAGCTCATGCAGTTGTTCGTGCTAAGAGCCTGCAAAATCTGCTTAGTGGAAAACGTGTCCATTACCCAGGCTCCTGAAACTCAGATTTCCGGTTAAAACCGAAAAACGAAATATTTTTAAATGGATGAATATGAGCAGACTGAACAGAAATCGGCCATGGGGGAGGGTCTTGCTTTCCTGCACTCTCTGTATCTGTGGTGTATTCAGTAGGAATTAGCTCCAGGGAGGTAATATCAAGAACTTTGTGTCCTTAAAGACAGGACTAGCCGCTGGTTTCAGCTGTATTCGTTTTCTTTTTTTTTTCCTGGAGGCAGTTCTTTGGCACAAATGGGAGGGATCCTGCAGTATGGCTACCGCAAGAAGCTATCGCCAGACAAGGTAAGTTCCTGACGAACCTTCCTCCTAAGAGAACCTCCTAGGTCAACCAGCTTCTTCAGTTTGGGGGCTGCACTGAGGTTTTGGTCAGCTTAATAAAAGTTTATAGGAGACTGCCTTTCTAAGGGGTGGCCTGAAAAAGTACCCCGTGGCCAGAGGACACTGTTTGAGGGACAGGAAGGTAAATGGATATGTGGATTTTGAAAGTGAAGCTGCCACACTCTTTGGAGGCAGAGACTCAGCCCAAGAGGTTGGTTGTGCTGAGCTCCTGCTGAATATCCTTAGCAGCAAGTCTCTCCATTGTCCTGGCTCGGGAAAGTTTAAAACACTTAAAACGGAATGTTATAAAATTGAGTGGACATGTGGCTGCTGGAGATAAAAGCAATACTGCTGGAGGCTGTGCAAGCTCTAGACTGGTTCCTGTACTTTCTCCTTTGTCTCTTGTGCCTTCAGTAGGAACTGGCTCCAGAGAAGCTCAGAAGGCAAGGGAGGGACATCTCCAAGCACTTTGAGACAGTTTAGCCAGAAAACCTGCTACTGCCCAAACTCATCGAACCCAAAGCAGTATTGCTATGCAGCATGATAGAGTGTACGATTACTTGCCTGCACACCCCAAGCTAAAATCCTGTGCCCTTGAAAGCAGACAGAATGGGCTAGTGCAGCTCATCCCTCCCTCGGGGAGAGAGACCACAGCAAATGAATTCAAAGTCCCTTTCTCCCCGTCTCTGCCTCA